CCACCGTCACCCTTTGGGAGGGGGCGGATGCCGAAGCAGCATGTCTCTGCCTCCGAGTCGGAGCCCCTCCCCATGGAAAAGGGTGCCTTGCTGGCTGTGGAGAGGAGGAGGAAGAGGAGCCCGCCTCCAAATCTCGCCTCAACGTGCAGGTGTGTGCATGTGATGTTGCACATCCGCGTCACAGTGGCGGGCCTCCATAATCCTGAGGGCGAGATGGTGCTCCTGGTATATTGTAGGGCACATAATATTCCCTGTGCCTGGCCAGAGACCCACATTGTCTGAGCATAGCCCTGCAAACATGCTCAAGCATCCTTCAAAACATTCAGGGGTTCCACAGCAGACAAATCAGTGTGAAAAGTGTTCCCTGAACATAAAATGCTTTGAAAGAGTGGCTTAGTTCAGTAACCACCCATAACAGCTTCAAGTCTATCCATACATACAAATTCACATGTTTAGCATGTTACTACTTTAGCAAACGAGGAAGAGCACGTTGCAGTTCCTCTAGACATCAGCAAAACAAAGAAAAACAGATAAGGAGAGTTCTTAGAGGAGCAAAGTCTGGTGGGAGATCTGTTTGTTTAATTATTTAAATTTATATACTACCCTTCATCTGAAGATCTCAGGGAAATCCGCAGCATAAAAACACAAAATAAAAACACAAAATACACAACAAGAACAAAAACAAACCCACAATCCCACCCCCAAACACATTGTGGGATAGAAGGCCTGGTTGAAGAGGAGCATTTTTTCCTGGCACCTAAAGATGCATAGTGAAGGTGCTCGGTGAGCCTTCCTGGGGAGAGAATTCCACAAACAGGAAGCCATTTCTCTGTCCTCGGGTACCCATGGCATTCTAAAATTGCACTGCCTTCTCCACTTTGATCTTGGGTCCTTTTCTCAGACAGTAAACCTGAAGTTGGAGTATTTTAGTATTTTATTTTAGGTACAGCCCTTACTGTAGGTACTCTAAAATAACCATAATCACTATGATCATAGCAGCAACAGGGGAAAAGTCACCAAATAAAATGATCTGAAGGAGGTAAACTACAATAAAAACTAATCATTTATTACTTCTCTTACCTCCCCAATTTTTGTTGCAGCCTTTTAAGCTTTGGGAAACAGGAAATCCACATGGAGGGCTCCCAGTGTGGCTTAAATAAAATATACAGCCGCAATACCTGTCCTCTCCTTTCCACAATCAGCTAGCATTCTTTTAGTTTAATATTTACTTGCTAAGATGAGATGCTAGTCTGCATGGTGATAAACAGTCTAGTACTGGCATCTGAAGGTGACCTGTCAGTTCATATGGACAAATCTCCTGCTTACTGAAATGTACAAAATAAATCATTAAAGCAGGCAGGTGCTCATTCCCAGTTTTAAATCACCATAGATTTATGATTTGAATTAATGCTTCATTTGGTCATAGAAATGGATGCTTGAGACAAATGATATGCAGTGGTTGGGGCTTCCATACTGTAGCCATCCTAATATTGATTACTGAGATGTCTTTGCAATCTCTTGTTTATATCAAGCACTGTCTTGTGACAGCTTGCCTGATACCAGCTACACTGCAGATAAGAAGGAAAAATGTCCTGGATTCTTTTTAGTGGCAACTTCTCACAGAGCATGCAGCAGAGATAAATTATTTTAGCCTGGTTGTTTAAAGTAACAGCTACATAAGCCAGACATCAAAGCCGTACTATTCTTAAGAGTATGATCTTATAAAGTGATCCGCTCCCTCTTTAAGAGCAAGGTCACATTCATATTTAGTAGAAAGCCTTTTATTTCTGTAATTATTTCTCTAATGCAAATGCAAAAATGAGTTTAAAATAAGCTGGCTGGGATCCAAAGAGGTGCAACTAATGTTTTTCCTTAACTGGCCTTACAGAAGGTGGTCCCAGAATAACACCCCCCCCCAAAAAAATAGGGATAAAATAGCATGAACATGCTGGAGCTGTTCAGGTTTTGGGGGGAATGCTATCTGAAAGGTCAGCCCAAGAACAAAATCTGATGATGTGGATTCTAGCCACTAGTTATATAGATGTCCATTTTTTTCTTTATTAAAGAAATAGATATAGATACTCATCCATATATGTGTGTGTGTGTGTGTGTGTGTGTGTGCGCGCGCGTGTGTGTGTGTGCACAAATCTGTGTGCAGAAGCAAGATTCCACATGCAGATCACCTTTATGAATGTAAGCCACATGTACAAAAGGTGTAATGTGCTTTGTAAAACTCATATTCATTAAGCAGCATTGTGTTGTCTTTCATGGATCAGGTCTCTGTTTCCATTCTCTAATAGGTGATCAGTGCTGTATCCCTAACCATGCAAATCATCAGTTTGGATGATGGGGGCACTGAATCCCTCCCCTCATATATCCTGTGTCCTTTTTCTAGAAAAAAAAGGTGCCAGGACTCGCCATGAAGTTGTTACAGTAAAGGCTTATTTTGGCTCTGGCCGTGGCGCCAACCTCCCCAGCCGCATTGCAGGCGGTTGGACAAGATGACCCTTAAGATCCCTTCCAATCTTGTGATTCCTCAAAGCCAGGCAGCCAGTTAGTGTTGGCGGTATGGCGTAAGATAGAGCAGTGGTCTGACTCAGTAGAAGGCAGCTTCCTGGGCTTGCTATAGAGGGCCTTCACTTTGAGAGCCAGGACACTTAGCTGTGAACTACGAGTCCCTGGTTAGCTTTAGAGAAGCCACAGTTTCTCAGTCTCACTCTCCTCCCCACCCTGCTTCCCCAAATCTAAAATGCGGAATAATAAAATTGACACCTCTCCTGGCATCGTTGTAAGGATTGCTGAGATAATGGATCTGAAGTGCTTTGAACCATCTGAAGTGCTATATAAATGTTGAGTGCTATGGTGTTTGCATGTAGCTCCTGGGTGGGGATTTCCCATTCACTTCGGCTCTGGAGACAGCTCCGTGTTTACATACAATAGATGCCACATGTCCAGCACTGTCTCTGGCTTTTCAAGAGAATGGGGGTAGCCTTGAACTTACGGGATTCTAAGTCCTAAGTACACATCATTTTCTCCTTCACAAAGAGCTTCTTATGACACAAAACATGCGTTTTAAAATTGAAGCTTTTTCTTAAAGCTGTAGAAGTTGTGTGTTTGTGTGTGTAGATACTACAGTGGCACCTTGGGTTACAAACACTTCAGGCTACAAACTCCGCTAACCCGGAAGTAGTACCTCAGGTTAAGAACTTTGCCCCAGGATGAGAACAGAAATCACACGTTGGTAGCGCGGTGGCAGCGGGAGGCCCCATGAGCTAAAGTGGTACCTCAGGTTAAGAACGGTTTCAGGTTAAGAACGGACCTCCGGAACGAATTAAGTTCGTAACCAGAGGTACCACTGTATAATATCAGACTATGTTCATTGGGAAAAGGGTAGAAATGGAGACCAAAAAGTTATAAGAACGTTTTAAGAAAGCATGCTATACAGGTATGACCTTTTTTTGTGGACGGTGGCTTATCAATATGGAAGGGAAAATCACCCATTTCCCCCCTGCTTTAAGCATTAATGTCAGAATAATTCTGAGCAAACATTCTAAAGCATTCTCCAAGGATCTGTGAAGAACCTTTGCCATTACCTAATGACTGAGCCACATATCTTGTAAACAGTGATCAACAATAGTAAATTACTTGCAAAGTAGGAAATGAGTTCATTTACAATATGATCTCAAAACAGATGTTCCAAAAACAAATCTCATTGTTTAAGCTGCAATTATACTTTTTAAAAACTCCTGCTATTATTTCTTTAAGGAAATGAAGCAATCGAAATGACTTTAGTGTTCTCTGTTTCTAAACACATTAGTTAGGAAATGTAAGTGACTTGGATAGAATGATCCACGAGCCAACCACAAGATGTGTTGAAAATGAAGTGGTGTTCTTGACACACCAGACTTCCTTTTTTATCTGCACAAATTTACAACGTTCAAAACAGTAAGAGGCATGTTTACAATAAGTCAAGATCTGTTGCCTGAGAATTTTTTTTGCCTTCCTTAAACTTATTATATTCTTTGCTCTAAAAAACGACAGCGCAAGAGTATCAAAGCAATTGATTAGGAAATATTTGCCTCAAGTGGCTGCCTCTAAGAACAGAACAGTTTAAAATGTAGTCATTTCCTTTCTCTCAATTCATGTGTCTTATTTTAGAAGGAAGAATTAATTTTATGGCTTCGGGGGGGAAAGAAAGTCTTCGAGTCCTTGAGAAAGCAAATACAAGGAAACAGAGAACACATGCAGGCCACTGAGCACAGCTCTGCGGTTGCACATCTGAATCTCTTGCTTGGCAATGTTAATGAACCTCAAATCCTCCCTATAATTAGATGAGGGAATTGCTTATATTTTCAAACAGATGATGCTGCTATAATGAAACGATTGACAGGGAATTTAAGACTGTCTACAGTAGTCATTTGGTTTCTGCGCCCCCCCTTCCTTAAGTTGAAAAGGAAGATTGGCTGTAGACTTAGGTCCTAGGGGAGGTAGTAATTTACATAGAATGCTATGACAGGTGTCGTGTACAGTGAGGAAATAAAAAGGAAGAGGAAGAATGATGGGCAGGTACACCACTGATTTTGGGAAGGAGGAGGTGTCCTGTGTGCTTCTCCTGCCTGGATTCTTTAAAAGGGGCCGAGACTCAGGAGATGGATCCGGATTGAGTGCACAGCTGTAACTGCTGATGAGCTAATTGCTCCTTATCTCTCAGACCCATTCATCTTCATTTTTTACCAATTACTGAGAATTATCTGTGTTCTCAGTTGGATATGAGAGTTAATCCTTTTTGGTTAAGCTGGCAGTACTGTGAGCAGATTCCAAATCGGAGGGTGAAAAAGCCAGAGCGTGCTCTTTCTAAAGTCTCTATTCAATGGCAGTATTGTTACTTCGTAAGATTTTTTTCTGCCGTTGCTTAACATACTTTAACGTCTTTCCCCCCCCGTTGTTTGGAGTATGTACACATACACGTATGCTGCTTTTACATTTCTGGTTTTGCAGGTATTTCGCAAAGGGACAAACACACTGGTTATGCACAGCTCAGTTGCATTTCTGAAAAGTTGCATTGTGCAGAAAAAATAGATGTCTCAAGACAAATGTCAGCCATAGTAGTTAGACATGATATACAAGTGCTTTCTCCTTGTGATAATAAAAATTTAACCCGAAGAATAAGACATTACCCACAAGTTGCTTTAGACATATGACATGCATTTGGCAATCATTCAGACACTCTTTATCACTGTTTTAGGATAAATGGGTAAACCTGCTATCACAAGTCTTTGCAAAGCAGTAGTCAAAACACCCTAGAGCAGTACATTATATGTTAAGTGTTTCACTTTCCTGTTAAAAATGTATTTTTGTATTTATTCTGTGGAAATGCCTCTAGATTCCTGGGATAGTGCATCAGATAACAGGTTCCTAGACTTTTTAGTATGAAAGGCACACTTAAGGGACAGAAAAGGAATTTGGCGCAATGAATTTGACGTAAAGAATATTTCGGATGCCAGTACTGTTTACATTTCTGGGATTTGTTCCCTTGCATTTCACTGCTGGAAAGTGTGAGGCAGCTACTCTGATGTAATAATTTGAACAGTGATTAGCAAATTCATAAAAGGACTAGCGAAACAGTGGTGTTTTTGTGTTAGATAGTCAATAGCATTTAAAAGAAAAGTGAGATGCCTCCCCAGTTCTAAATTGAGCTTGTAGTGTCAGCAGATTGAAGCTCCAGAAACAATGAATTAATGGCATGTTAAAAATTGGAATTGGCTAAGGCTGCTTCCTGAGGGCTATAATCTAGGGATGTGTGTGTGATTGGGATGGTGGTGTTGGAATTTAGGCTTTGAAGCAGGCACATATATTTGTGTACTTACCGTAAATCCTTGTATCATTTAAGATCGGTACGAAAATAAAGCTTTAGTTTATTTCTGGCCCAAACATATATTTGTAACTCCAGTCATAATGGAGCAAAGAAATGTAACAAGAATGTTTTACCATTTTATTTATAAAATACTCTGTGTTAGATCCAAACACTGCGCTACTTTCTATTTTTCATAATTTGCTTCTTCAGCAAGAAATTTGAACCATAGTTTTAGAATTTTTGTCCTATCTGCTTTCTTTCTTTGTTGTTGTTGTATCCACTGATGTCCTGACAATTATAGCAACATGATATTTTAAGCATGCCATAATAAGAAATGTGACTTAACTAATTGTATTACTTTGATAAATCCTATTAGAGTCTGTGCGATTCTTCTCCACAAATATAAGGAAGAGCCCTGAAATAGCTAAATATTTAAACGCTGTAAGCTTCAGTTTCACTGCAAATGACAGATGAAATTCTCCATAGGCAGGCCATATAAATCTAACTATCATCTGGCAAAGTGGGCTCTGGCCTATGAAAGCTTGCACTGCCATAAAACATAGTATTTAAGATGTCACAGAACTGCTTTTTTTAAAAAAAATGTAACCGACTAACACAACAACCATTAAAGTGTGCAATTCTTCCATAGCTTAAAGGGAGGCGAGAAGGCAAAATACACAGTAGAAACAGTCCAATGTTTCTGGACAAAGTTTCACTCATATGATACTTTATTAGAAGCTAATGTAAATTTTATTAGTCTTCCAAGAGATTTGCCGCCCTATCCTTAAATAGTAAGTTTATTGCTTTTAATTGGAAGTAGAACTCTTAGGGTTACAGTCTAAACCAAATGATTATAAACCTTCCTTTATGCTTAAAGTATTATTATTCCAACAGCTTTTCCTGGGTTCAGAGCTTCCCTGGGCTTGAACCACAGTTCAGACATGTGCAAATTCATCCTTGCCCTGCAGCTCTGTGGCCAATGATGTATGTACACATCTTATTGATATTGTTATGTTACTATCTACAAGTCTACTAAAATTTTTGCGGTCGGCTTTGACAATTTTCAGGTTGTAAAACACAAGTTGCAATGAACCAATAAGAAGATGCTCCAAAACTTGCTTTCTCCATATACGTATTTTCCTTACCAGTAATTATAAATTTGCTGTTGAGTAGACCTGGGTTTCATTTTTTCTCATGTGTTTACAAAAGTGTTTATTGTGTGGTACAAATTTGTCAAAATATTGGGTTGGATGAAACGAATCCCAAGTCAAATGCATTAACACTGTGTTGTGCATAAGCACTATTTGAATATTTCATGCAGCAAAGAAAGCCCCAATGCTAGAGTCCAAAAGGTTCCCCATTGAATAGCAAGACTTGCTTTGTACTTGCTGCTTTGGGATTTGCAGTTATTGCAAGCCCTTTCTAGTGGGAAACTGCTTTTGCTCCTGCTTATTTAGCAGATGTGTAAGGAATTTAAACTCTGAGGGAGGAATTCAACTAAGGAGATTGTTCCATTGGCGCAAGCCTTTCAGCTTGCCAGATGGGAAGATCTCACCCCTCCCCCATGCGCTGTACTGGGGGTTCCCCGACCCAATTTGAGGGGCGTATGGGGGCATGAAGGGGAGGAGAGGGGAAGAAAAGCCCCATTTCACCAGCAAAAGACCTTCCTCTGGCTTGCAGTAGCGTAACTCATTAGTTAACTCTGAACCTAAAAAGTTAAAGGACAATAATCCTTGATATGTAGCCACTTGTGCAATAGAAATCCACTTATGCAGTTGGGTTTCAGTATGAAATATATAGCAGTCTGTGTGGGATGTGTAGAACTGGGGAATTTGGACTCATGAATGTACTGGCCATCATTGCCAGGTGGTAGCCAAGGAGATAAGATTAGCCCAGGTTTCACAGTTTAAATGTGCCCACAGAGAATACTAGCAGGATATGTAGGTTGATGATGCCATTGGCTTCCGTCAGCACAACTACTTCAAATCATGCATCTCTGCAGAGATGTAGCACGTCACCCTACAAATTCATTTTTTTTTTGTATCCCCGTCCCCCAAATAGTGATTTAAGTCACTAAACACACAACTCCCACCTCAACCTTTCCTGGTAGTGGTGACTGAATATCACAGTTTCTGTAGCTGCACCTGTTGCTGCTGACGTTTAGTCAGTCATACTATCAGATTTTGGTATTACCTTCATTTCAGTAATGTTGGTCAGCTGGGCTGTTCTCAGTTTTATAACATGCCAGAACATTTCTCAAACTACTGTACAGTGAAAAAAAATAGCTGCATAGTATTAAAATATTTTTGCGGCTTGTACTAGCAAATGTACTACAATTTTACACATAACGAATTGTTATTGTTGCTTGAAATATGTTGGATTAGTTATTATTACATTGTTGAGTAGAAAAAAAGACACTTCTGTTTTCTTTTGTGTGTGTGTGAGAGAGTTGGTGCAGTTTTCTTCCAGTCACCTAAAGTGGGTGAGGATTTAACCTCATTTTTCTAAACTGTTTCAGCTTAGAACTCAACTCAACTCATATTCTTTGGCAGGGCTCAACAACTTGGCTTCTGATAATGAAGGTAGAAAGATTTTATTTTTAATAAACCTGGCAGCAATCTTATTTTCCCTCATTATTTGTCATAGCAGTGTACTGGAAGACACTAATTGTGCTGGGCATATGGACTTAAGCAACTCCTCCTTTAACAAGTTGCCCCACAATTGGAGGAGCAATCAGAGGCTACAAGCTCCCCTTCAACCAAGACTAATCCAACTGCCAAAGTTGTGACATTTGCTATGAGGTATGCAAAACCATTAGGTTGGAGCCAGTTTGCCGGGTGGACAATTTCCTGCCTGGCACCGAATACACGCCCAACAATGTCATACCAAGGTCAGAATACCCAAGACACAGCATGAACAAAAGGGGGTTGTTGGGTGTAGCATCTGATGAGGGTGACCAGGTGTCGGGACCAGGGCAGGCTGCTTTAGCCATGTTCAAATATATAAAAGGATGTCACATAGAAGCGGACACGGAGCAATGGATCCAAACTACAAGAAAGAAGATTCCACCTAAACATTAGGAAGAACTTCCTGACAGTAAGAGCTGTTCGACAGTGGAATTTGCTGCCAAGGAGTGTGGTGGAGTCTCCTTCTTTGGAGGTCTTTAAGCAGAGGCTTGACAACCATATGTCAGGAGTGCTCTGATGGTGTTTCCTGCTTGGCAGGGGGTTGGACTCGATGGCCCTTGTGGTCTCTTCCAACTCTATGATTCTATGAAATGCCTCGGGAGTGAGCCTGAAGGAAGCCTACCTGCTCCGTCAGGCCTGCCCCTGAGGCAGGCCCTCCCTCCAAGCCTGCCTGTCATTGGCCAATCATGTAGGCAGGCTTGGATCCAAATCCTGGTTGGTGTGGGGAGCTTCCAAACCCCCTTGCCATCCAGGCAGTCCCAGCAACCTGAACCCATGATGGATCTAGTGGAAGAGGCATCACCAGCCTGCAACGCTGCCTTACCTGGGAAGGGGTTAGTGGACTTGTAAAAAAAAAATATGAGTCTTAGAAGGAAGTAGTAGGTAATTAGGAAAGGGACGGAAAGCAAAGGACAGGACAAGGAGGCCTAAAGTGGAAGGTGACCAGCAGTGGAGACTGGTGAGTATGTTCACTAAGCAAAACTGCAAATGACTACTGCTTGGCAACAGAGAGCGAGGGACTTTCCACACCAGCAGGAACAGCGGAAGTGGGGGTGTCAAAGTCAGGATTGTGTAAGTGCATGGGGTCTGACTGGGGTGTGTGTGTGTCCACTCCCTGATTGGAGCAACTTGTGTCTGTGCCTCCACCTCTCTGCATGCACGTTTAATGAGGATCGCCCCTTTGGGGCTCACTCAGAATCATACCCTAGGAAGTTGCTTTTATCTCCGCGAAGAGTCTTAATCCAAGACCTGTATCTTTCCTGGGTAGGAAAAATGCCCCAGGGAAGGGAAATTCGATTGTATAAAGGGCTGGCAAGGGAAGTACTACATGCTCTGACCCTCTCCTACATAGCCTGGCTCTCTACTGAAGGTTCCAGCTTCCTACGGTTGCTTTTGGGTGGGTGGGGGGGAGAAAGAATAATGGAACTACAAATCATATGTTGCTTGACACAGTGCCTGCTGTGACTTGCTAGTCCCTGTGAGTAGGAAGCTCACAGTAATAAAAATAAATTGTACATGACTTAAATTGTGTTGTGTTCTTATTTGACTCAAAAGTCAAACATTGTCCATATGGCTCTTTTTACTTAGAAAAGTAGCCATTAACTTTGTGGATTTCATAAAGGACAATTGATTTTAGTTATAAGGTTAGAAGTGTGTGCCTTAACATGTTTGAAAATCCGATACCATTTTAACTCATTTCTGTAGGTACCACTAATAATTAGGTACTAATTAATTTATAATTAATCTAGGTACTAATTATGTTTCTTTAAAAGCATTAAAAAAATAAAATAAAGTATGATTTCAAGTTTTTTTAAGGTTTGTGATGCATCACAGAAACTGGTGGTGATGCTCTCTAAATTTCTATTCGGCACTGGGTTTCTTGCAAACATTTCGTTAAGAATGTTTAGATATTCATTCTATATTATGCACCATCAGTTTAAAAATGCACTCCAGCTTCCCATAATTGCTCCCTGCCTCTCTCCTGCTTTCCTCATGGTACTTGCAAAGTGTATGCCCAAACTGGGATATCTTTCTTGGTCTTAGATGTAGAACCCTTCTTTCTAGGTTCCAGTTCATAATTTGGTGATCTGCACCAGTTTACAGGTTTGCCCTCAGTGGAAATTACATGAAAGGTTTGGACAAGTAATTTTCAAACTGTCTGTTTAATTCAGTATTCTCCGAGAGCAGTTGTGCCACATTCTGCAGGTGCCTTTGACTATAGTTGAATTAGCTATTTTTAAAAACGTTGATGGATAAACATTATGTATATTCGGGGGAAATGTGTGTGTAGCTTTGACAGCAATGATGTAGGGAGCCGTGACACTTGAAAGACCAAACAGGAAGGGAAGCAGAAAGGTTTAGAATATGGTTTTTCTTAACAGCAGGTTCTAATGGAAACATGGGCCCTTGCATTTATTCAGCACTGAGAGAATTGCTAGTTTGATAATGACTAGGAATGTTGTTATTAAAACAGTGTGTGCAGTTCATTTTCAACAGTTTTGAATTAGAGTCTTCACTAATGAAACGGATACGGTTTCTTTCACAAAGGGCAGATCTGTTAGTTAATATAGCTGCTGCAGTGCCTTGTGGACCATGCCTTTAGCTCTATTTGTATTTCACAGCATGATAAGCAAAGAGTGTTGATTTTCAAGGATCCTGCTGATGAAAGGTAATGGCATTATTACATCTTTATCTCAAAAACAGAACTGTGTGGTAAATGATTCTCCCTTTCTTCCTTGCACCTCCCTCCCCTAATTCTCTCTCAGTTTCCTTATGGCACAAAAGATTTCTTGGTTAGAAAATCCCCTTTTTTATTTCTTTAAGTCACTTTAGCCTTGGAAATGATATGTTATTATTTAATGTCTGCACAGCAAGCCTGAGAGCACCTAATAGCGAGTGGATTGGAAGTGAAGGGCCTCCTGCTTGCAGATATGGATCGGCTCAGTCACACGCTGTACCAGCTGTCATCTCGGCCATACTGCTGTGATTTAATTAGTCTGTTTATGTCCTTTCTAATAATATTTCCATCTCTATGAAAGGGCAAATGCGACAGGGACTTCTTTCCCGCTCTCCGGGTTCCACACACTGAGGAATGTGGCCTACATCCGATATGCTAAGATGCAGGATTGAATCACCATTCCTGTCATTTCAAGCTGTTGATAAATTGTTCAGCCAAGAAATGTACTTACTTCCTTGGGGTCATTTGTGTGCTAGGGCCTATAATCTGCACTGCAAAGGGACGAACGAACGAAAGAGAATACAAAGACAAGGATGTTGTGGTTGTGCATAGGAGACCAAATTCCACTAGCGGGATAGAAATTGTTTTAATCATATCTTCCCCCTATTGGTCATGCAAACGCTTGGAATAATTATTTTTATCCTTCCATCAGAAGAAGCTACAACTGCCGCCTGTTAAATTTCATTAGACCAGCATTGCAATCCTATTACATACCTGCTCAAATGCAAACCCTACTGATTTCAGTGGGGCGTTCTGCAAAGTAAGCGTGTGTAAGGATTGCAGCCTTAGGGTTAATAGTGAAATAATGGAGTTTAGATGCACTTTCGTTTGACTTCTTGTACATTTTTGCCACATTGCAAGACCTCAGGTCTAGTATATTTAAACCATAAATATATCAAAATAGAGGGGAAGTGGCCAAGTAGAGGTAGTACTGCCAAAAAAAGGAAAAAGGAAAAAAGGTCATTGAGAAGACTCAAAGATGAAGCAGGAAGGCATTTCAATACAGGTTTAGAAACTGGCAGAATGATGTAAGTTAGCAAGTAAACAGAAGTAATCATAATAATTTTACTTAATTGTGGAAAGACCACATCAAATGCTATCTCCCCCTCCCCTTACACCCACCCACACGGACACACCCACACACCCTTTATCCCATCACTGTAATTCAATTGTGAATTTAGTTCCCCCATGTTACTACACAAACTATAAAAACGTCAGGCTTGGGTATCAGCGGGTCACTTTCAAGAGTAGTTAAAAAACCATGGTGTGTATACATGGAACTTCAGAGTGGGAGAGAGAGCAGAGATAGAATATGTTTGGTTTGATAATATATGTAGATGGCCAAATGCTACAAGTGGTAAATGATCAGAATAAATGGAATTATATATAGAGCTTGCATAAACACAGAAATAATTATATCCAGTGACAGGAGCCATTGAAGGTTTCAGAAAGTTAAAACCACTAAGGAACGTCCAGGCCTTTTTTAACCATGGTAACTTGATTTATTCCTAGCTTTTTAGCTACAGTGGTACCTCTGGATGCGAACAGGATCCGTTCTGGAGCCCCGTTTGCATCCTGAAGCGAATGCAACCCGCATCTGCGCGTGCACGGGTCGCCGCTTCCGTGCATGCGCGTAACGGCATTTTGATCGTCTGCGCATGCGCGAGTGGTGAAACCTGCGCATGTGCGAGCGGCGAAACGCGTTCTGTTACTTCTGGGTCTCCGCGGAGCGCAACTCGAAAACTCTCAACCCGAAGATACTTCAACCCGAGGTATTCTTTGGGACTCACTAAGTTATTAAAGTTACAGTAACTATTTTCATAAGGTATCATTTCCCCACTATCTCACATATTTTGATTAAAAGTTCCATAAAAGTTACTGCTTAAATTCCACACAGGGAAATGCCATAAACAGCATCACATAGTTCTCCTAGCTGTGTACAGTGGTGCCTCGCAAGACGAAATTAATCCGTTCCGCGAGAGTCTTCGTCTAGCGGTTTTTTCGTCTTGCGAAGCAACCCTATTAGCGGCTTAACGGATTAGTGCTATTAGCGGTTTAGCGGCTATTAAAGGCTTATCGGCTTAGCGGATTAGCTGCTAAAAGGCTATTAAAGGCTTAGCGGCTTAGATAAAGGGGGGGGAAAGCGAAAAAAAAATCTCAAGACTCGCAAGACGTTTCCGTCTTGCGAAGCAAGCCCATAGGGAAATTCGTCCTGCGAAGCAACTCAAAAACGGAAAACCCTTTCGTCTAGCGGGTTTTCCGTCTTGCGAGGCATTCGTCTTGCGGGGCACCACTGTAAATGTGTCCAGCCAGGGTGCATGTGTGCACTGGCACAGTGTATGAATATGCCAGCAGTTATAGCAGCCATCATAGGAGCCAACTCCTAGGGGCCGAGTGGTTTTTGCCCACCCCCAAAATAAAATATTTGAGGGGGCTGCCCCCCCAGTTGATGGGCATGGCATTCAAATGGTGTGCATGCACTGCATCATGTGATTGATTACGCAGGGCGGGGCTTACTTGCCCCTGTCCAATATTTTATTCAAGTTGTCACCCCTGCCAGCCGTATACAGTAACAATAGCTGTTAACTCTCTATCCCCTTGAAGGTTGGGCCCAAACTAGACAATACACTAAGTAACTTATTTAAATAGCACCTCTCTCTCTCTTTGTGATCAGAACCAAGAGCAAAGGGAGCGTTGCAGTGTTTTCCTTCCCACAAACTTTAGTCCCATTGAAAGGGGACCCACCCGTTATTCACCCTGAGGAAGAAGATGCCTGTATATTAGTATTTGTTGGGAATTTAACTAGCTTAAACATTCCCCCCTCTCATACCACATCAGAGATATGAGATGTGGTTACATTTGCTTTTAAGGGTGCTTAAAGAAAATAGATGTATGTTGCACTGCAAAAGGCTTGACAACAAGGACGAAACCTAAACATTCCATTAATACTAAATTTTATTTCTGATGTTCCTCGGTGCCAAATCGGCTTTTGATTTTACCCTCATTTCTCGAATATACTTTTGTAGCAAGTACTGAAATACCTTGAGGTGCTGTTCTAAAGAACAATTCAATCAGACGGTTGGCATTGCTTTAGACGTCTCATGGTCTCACATCATGAGCTACCCTCTGGCATTTCCTACAGTTTCCTTATCACTGTCACGGGGGGCGGGGGATGACGGAATCTTATAAATTATATATTCAAAATATGTTTTCCCGGCTTCTGTTTGGTTTTCAGATACACTCAGTGCTCATTCTAGGACATGCTCCCGGGGCCTTTGAAAAGTATCAGAAACTAACACCACTTAACCCACAAGAAATAAGACTGACATTTAAAACTTAGACCACCATAGGGTTAGGATGAGAAATCAATTTTATGTGCCTATTACTAGTTAATGTTAGCCTCTTCCTTAAAAGTTTGGCTCATATCATATAATTTTATTCGCTTTTTGTAACGCCACGGATGCCAAACCTGTAAAGGGAATTAATTGAAGTCAAGGCCATTTTTGCAACTGTGATTTTAAAAGTTATCCTCCGCTGCTCATGTTCTTTATTTTAGGAGAATAGCTCAGTTAGTCTGGAATTTAATTAGGCTTGTGCCTCTTCATTCACACAGTAAGGTTAGCAATGGATGCAGACAGAGTAGTGACTTCTGGGTTGAGGTCCAGATAAATAATTTGCCTATGCAGTGGTGATCCACTGCCAAACTAGAGCTGTACCACATGCAGTTGCTTCAATAACAAGTCACTTTAATAACTGAAAATGGCTTGTCTTTTGAGCAGGAACAACTGCTGATGCAGATACAATTGATGCTCTCCTCTGGGCATACCTGCCACTTCTTTTTGTGTGTTAGACATAGAATCATAGAATCTTAAGAGTTGGAGAGGTTCCTGAGGGTCAGCTAGTCCAGCCTCCTTCAATGCAGGAATCTCAACTAGACCATACATGACACACGGCCATCCAACCTCTGCTGAAAAACCTCCAGTGAAGGAAAGTCCACCACCTCCCATGGCAGTCTGTTCCACTGTTGAAGTTCTTTCTGATATTTAGTCAGAATCTCCTTTCTTGTAACTTGAATCCGTTGTCTTAGGAGAAAACAGGCTTGCTTCATCCTCCATGTGACACCTTTTAGATATTTGAAGATGGCTATCATACCTCATCTCAATCTACTGTTTCCTAGGCTAAACATACCCAGTTCCCTCACAATTTCTTGTAAGTCTTGGTTTTCAGATCCTTGGTCATCTTGGTTGCCCTCTCCTGCACACGTTCCAGCTTGCCAAAATCCTCCTTAAGTTGTGGTCCACAGAACTGGATACGGTACTCCATGTGTGGTCTGACCAAATCAGAATAGAGTGGTACTATTACTTCCCTTGACTGGGATTCTATACTTCTGTTGATGCAGCCTAGAGTAGCATTAACTATTTTGCTGCTGCATCACACTGTTGACTCATGTGAAGCTTGTGGTCTACTGAGACCCCTAGATCCTTTTCACATATTTACGCAAGGGAACCAGAAATTGCAGTCAGGTTTGTGGCAATTGATACATAAAGGTTCATTCATACATGCAAATCTACAAAACACTTGAATAACAGTGACAGCACATTTGGCTTCAAGAAGAATTTAAGAACTAATTGTAATCATAAGCCATAAGTCCAACTTTCTTATTCAGTATTTTTATCATGACAGATCTGGTTATCCTCCTGACAACAATATTTTTTACGATAGCAAACAAGTTTTAGTAAATGTTTGATGGTATTTTGTATTTGTAAGATAAACGAATTGTGAGATGTGTGATTGCCTGATGATGTACTCATTTAGTTGTTCTCCCCAACCCACCTTTTACTAATCTCTGTCATGTTGGATTTACAAATGGAACAGAGTGACCTTTGAAACAATGATGGAAACGAAGAGATAAACACAACTTGAAAGGACAAACCAATTAATATAAATGTGTTGCACATAAAACTGATTTGAGTCCATTGCTATCTATGTAAACCTTTTCAATGCTTACGAGAACAAAGGGTAAAGAAATGAGGTGACGTACATATGGTGTATTTTGTTTTTTCTTTTTTTTTAAAACAACACTTTTCTGTAGTGTTATAAATTTACCCATCATCTGTGCCTCTCACTGAAGGAAAAGTAAACCTGCATACATGCTCAGTCTCACTTGGGTCCAAAAGATCTCTGGGGGAAAAAAACTTTTGGTAAAATCCCAGGTTTCTGGGCTTCGTGTTTTTAGAGAATTTGAGATCCCATGAATGAAAGTGATGGGGTAACTTATGACTGCAGACCTGCTTTTTCTTCCTTGTGTCTCTCATCCAGAGGCACCTGACCAAATGCCTATGTTGTTGTTGTTGTTTAGTTGTTTAGTCGTGTCTGACTCTTTGTGACCCCATGGACCAGAACACACCTGGCACTCCTGTCTTCCACTGCCTCCCGCAGTTTGGTCAAACTCATGCTGGTAGCTTCGAGAACACTGTCCAACCATCTCGTCCTCTGTCGTCCCCTTCTCCTTGTGCCCTCTATCTTTCCCAACATCAGGGTCTTTTCCAGCGAGTCTTCTCTTCTCATGAGGTGGCCAAAGTATTGGAGCCTCAGCTTCAGGATCTGTCCTTCCAGTGAGCACTCAGGGCTGATTTCCTTAGGAATGGATAGGTTTGATCTTCTTGCAGTCCATGGGACTCTCAAGAGTTTCCTTCAGCACCATAATTCAAAAGTATTAATTCTTCGGCGACCAGCCTTCTTTATGGTTCAGTTCTCACTTCCGTACATCACTACTGGGAAAACCATAGCTTTAACTATACGGACCTTTGCTGGCAAGGTGATGTCTCTTATCGAATAATAGAATTGTAGAATTTGAAGGGGGGCTCCGAGAATCACCTATTCCAACCCCCTGCAGTGCAAGAATCCTGCCCACAACCGTTGCTAGGTGGGCTCAA